CTCCTCTTTTTGCTCCCATTCTTTCCCAAATCCCCATTTTTTCCCCCAGAGCCATACTTGATCATGTGCTTGGGCCCAATTCCCCATTTTTCACTATTTTTGCTCCTGTTTTTGCTCCCATTCTTTCCCAAATCCCCATTTTTTCCCCCAGAGCCATACTTGATCATGTGCTTGGGCCCAATTCCCCATTTTTCACTATTTTTTCTCCTCTTTTTGCTCCCATTCTTTCCCAATCCCCAAATCTTCCCCAAAATTCCCAAATCTTCCCCAAAATTCCCATTTTTCCCCAAATCTTCCCCAAAATTCCCAAATCTTCCCCAAAATTCCCATTTTTCCCCAAATCTTCCCCAAAATTCCCAAATCTTCCCCAAAATTCCCATTTTTCCCCAAATCTTCCCCAAAATTCCCAAATCTTCCCCAAAATTCCCATTTTTCCCCAAATCTTCCCCAAAATTCCCAAATCTTCCCCAAAATTCCCATTTTTCCCCAAATCTTCCCCAAAATTCCCAAATCTTCCCCAAAATTCCCATTTTTCCCCAAATCTTCCCCAAAATTCCCAAATCTTCCCCAAAATTCCCATTTTTCCCCAAATCTTCCCCAAAATTCCCAAATCTTCCCCAAAATTCCCATTTTTCCCCAAATCTTCCCCAAAATTCCCAAATCTTCCCCAAAATTCCCATTTTTCCCCAAATCTTCCCCAAAATTCCCAAATCTTCCCCAAAATTCCCATTTTTCCCCAAATCTTCCCCAAAATTCCCAAATCTTCCCCAAAATTCCCATTTTTCCCCAAATCTTCCCCAAAATTCCCAAATCTTCCCCAAAATTCCCATTTTTCCCCAAATCTTCCCCAAAATTCCCAAATCTTCCCCAAAATTCCCATTTTTCCCCAAATCTTCCCCAAAATTCCCAAATCTTCCCCAAAATTCCCATTTTTCCCCAAATCTTCCCCAAAATTCCCAAATCTTCCCCAAAATTCCCATTTTTCCCCAAATCTTCCCCAAAATTCCCAAATCTTCCCCAAAATTCCCATTTTTCCCCAAATCTTCCCCAAAATTCCCAAATCTTCCCCAAAATTCCCATTTTTCCCCAAATCTTCCCCAAAATTCCCAAATCTTCCCCAAAATTCCCATTTTTCCCCAAATCTTCCCCAAAATTCCCAAATCTTCCCCAAAATTCCCATTTTTCCCCAAATCTTCCCCAAAATTCCCAAATCTTCCCCAAAATTCCCATTTTTCCCCAAATCTTCCCCAAAATTCCCAAATCTTCCCCAAAATTCCCATTTTTCCCCAAATCTTCCCCAAAATTCCCAAATCTTCCCCAAAATTCCCATTTTTCCCCAAATCTTCCCCAAAATTCCCAAATCTTCCCCAAAATTCCCATTTTTCCCCAAATCTTCCCCAAAATTCCCAAATCTTCCCCAAAATTCCCATTTTTCCCCAAATCTTCCCCAAAATTCCCAAATCTTCCCCAAAATTCCCATTTTTCCCCAAATCTTCCCCAAAATTCCCAAATCTTCCCCAAAATTCCCATTTTTCCCCAAATCTTCCCCAAAATTCCCAAATCTTCCCCAAAATTCCCATTTTTCCCCAAATCTTCCCCAAAATTCCCAAATCTTCCCCAAAATTCCCATTTTTCCCCAAATCTTCCCCAAAATTCCCAAATCTTCCCCAAAATTCCCATTTTTCCCCAAATCTTCCCCAAAATTCCCAAATCTTCCCCAAAATTCCCATTTTTCCCCAAATCTTCCCCAAAATTCCCAAATCTTCCCCAAAATTCCCATTTTTCCCCAAATCTTCCCCAAAATTCCCAAATCTTCCCCAAAATTCCCATTTTTCCCCAAATCTTCCCCAAAATTCCCAAATCTTCCCCAAAATTCCCATTTTTCCCCAAATCTTCCCCAAAATTCCCAAATCTTCCCCAAAATTCCCATTTTTCCCCAAATCTTCCCCAAAATTCCCAAATCTTCCCCAAAATTCCCATTTTTCCCCAAATCTTCCCCAAAATTCCCAAATCTTCCCCAAAATTCCCATTTTTCCCCAAATCTTCCCCAAAATTCCCAAATCTTCCCCAAAATTCCCATTTTTCCCCAAATCTTCCCCAAAATTCCCAAATCTTCCCCAAAATTCCCATTTTTCCCCAAATCTTCCCCAAAATTCCCAAATCTTCCCCAAAATTCCCATTTTTCCCCAAATCTTCCCCAAAATTCCCAAATCTTCCCCAAAATTCCCATTTTTCCCCAAATCTTCCCCAAAATTCCCAAATCTTCCCCAAAATTCCCATTTTTCCCCAAATCTTCCCCAAAATTCCCAAATCTTCCCCAAAATTCCCATTTTTCCCCAAATCTTCCCCAAAATTCCCAAATCTTCCCCAAAATTCCCATTTTTCCCCAAATCTTCCCCAAAATTCCCAAATCTTCCCCAAAATTCCCATTTTTCCCCAAATCTTCCCCAAAATTCCCAAATCTTCCCCAAAATTCCCATTTTTCCCCAAATCTTCCCCAAAATTCCCAAATCTTCCCCAAAATTCCCATTTTTCCCCAAATCTTCCCCAAAATTCCCAAATCTTCCCCAAAATTCCCATTTTTCCCCAAATCTTCCCCAAAATTCCCAAATCTTCCCCAAAATTCCCATTTTTCCCCAAATCTTCCCCAAAATTCCCAAATCTTCCCCAAAATTCCCATTTTTCCCCAAATCTTCCCCAAAATTCCCAAATCTTCCCCAAAATTCCCATTTTTCCCCAAATCTTCCCCAAAATTCCCAAATCTTCCCCAAAATTCCCATTTTTCCCCAAATCTTCCCCAAAATTCCCAAATCTTCCCCAAAATTCCCATTTTTCCCCAAATCTTCCCCAAAATTCCCAAATCTTCCCCAAAATTCCCATTTTTCCCCAAATCTTCCCCAAAATTCCCAAATCTTCCCCAAAATTCCCATTTTTCCCCAAATCTTCCCCAAAATTCCCAAATCTTCCCCAAAATTCCCATTTTTCCCCAAATCTTCCCCAAAATTCCCAAATCTTCCCCAAAATTCCCATTTTTCCCCAAATCTTCCCCAAAATTCCCAAATCTTCCCCAAAATTCCCATTTTTCCCCAAATCTTCCCCAAAATTCCCAAATCTTCCCCAAAATTCCCATTTTTCCCCAAATCTTCCCCAAAATTCCCAAATCTTCCCCAAAATTCCCATTTTTCCCCAAATCTTCCCCAAAATTCCCAAATCTTCCCCAAAATTCCCATTTTTCCCCAAATCTTCCCCAAAATTCCCAAATCTTCCCCAAAATTCCCATTTTTCCCCAAATCTTCCCCAAAATTCCCAAATCTTCCCCAAAATTCCCATTTTTCCCCAAATCTTCCCCAAAATTCCCAAATCTTCCCCAAAATTCCCATTTTTCCCCAAATCTTCCCCAAAATTCCCAAATCTTCCCCAAAATTCCCATTTTTCCCCAAATCTTCCCCAAAATTCCCAAATCTTCCCCAAAATTCCCATTTTTCCCCAAATCTTCCCCAAAATTCCCAAATCTTCCCCAAAATTCCCAATTTTTTCCCCAAATTCCCGTTTCCCCCCAATCTTCCCCAAAATTCCCAATTTTTTCCCCAAATTCCCGTTTCCCCCCAATTTTCCCCAAAATTCCCAATTTTTTCCTCCAAATCTTCCCCAAAATTCCCAATTTTTCCCCCAAATCTCCGCCAAAATTCCCAATTTTTTCCCAAAATTCCCATTTTTCCCCCAAATCTTCCCCAAAATTCCCGTTTCTCCCCCAATTTTTCCCCAAAATTCCCAATTTTTTCCCCAAATTCCCGTTTTTTTCCCCAAAATCCCCGTTTTTTTCCCCAAATTCCCGTTTTTTCCCCAGATTCCCGTTCCTCCCGGAGGAAGCGCTGACGTTTTCCTGCCGGCCCTGCGGGGGGCGCTGCGGTGGCACAGGAAGAGGGGCTGGGGGTCCGCGGAGGGTCCCAGCGCCGCCGGATCCGGGCCCGGCCCCTGCGAAGGTTCCGGCGGCAGCGAGCGCGGCTGGCCCCGCGACGCCCGGATCGTCACCTGGGGGGGCACAAGAAACCGGGAAATTGGGATTTTCCACCGGGAACCCGGGCTCGGGATGGACTGACAGTCAATGCCATGAAATCCCAATTAGCTCTATGAAAAAAACAAACAATTAACTCCAGGAAACGTCCAATTAATCACAGGAAATGTCCCGTGAATCCCAGGAAATTCCCAATTAATCACAGGAAATGTCCCGTGAATCCCAGGAAATTCCCAATTAATCACAGGAAATTCCCAATGAATCCCAGGAAATTCCCAATGAATCCCAGGAAATTCCCAATTAATTCCACAAAATTCAGTGAATCCCAGTAAATTCCCAATGAATCCCAGTAAATTCCCAATTAATTCCACAAAATTCAGTAAATTCCCAACGAATCCCATTAAATTCCCAATGAATTCCACAAAATTCAGTAAATTCCCACTGAATCCCAGTAAATTCCCAACGAATCCCATTAAATTCCCAATGAATTCCACAAAATTCAGTAAATTCCCAACGAATCCCATTAAATTCCCAACACAATCCCACCGCCAAACTCCACAAAAACCCCCCTCAATCCCACAAACCCCTCCCCAAATCCCCCCTTCACTCCCAGCCCTTCCCCATCCCCTCTGCCCCCAGCCAACACAAGCCCTGGGAATCCCTCCGGGAATTTTTCCGGGAATTTTTCCGGGAATTTCCCCGGGAAGGGCGTGCCTTGGTGCCGGGTTTGAGCCCCTCGAGCTGCTTGGGCTTGCGGAAGGTTTTGTGGTGCTGCAGCTTGTGCTCGATCTTGTCCTTGGCAAACAGGAACTGCAGGCGGCACTTGTTGCAGTGGTACACGCTCTTCTTCTGGAAAAAAAACACCCCATCAGTGTTAATTGTTAATTGCTTCATTAGGCCTTGACTGTTTATTAGTTATTAAATAGGTATCGATTGTTGATTGCGTGTTGAATGGGTATTAGAACTGAAAACTGCACTGGCTGCGGCGGTGCGTGCTCTCCTTCTGGGAAAAAGCAGTAATTTGCATTAATTAATTATTAGTTCATAATTATTTGATAGTTATTAAGTAGCTATTAGCTGTTTACTGAGTATTAGGTGGGGATTAGAACTGCAGGTGGCACTTGTTGCAGTGGTACACGCTCTTCTTCTGGAAAAAAAAAACCCCATCAGTGTTAATTGTTAATTGCTTCATTAGGTCTTGACTGTTTATGAGTTATTAAATAGGTATCGATTGTTGATTGCGTGTTGAATGGGTATTAGAACTGAAAACTGCACTGGCTGCGGCGGTGCGTGCTCTCCTTCTGGGAAAAAGCAGTAATTTGCATTAATTAATTATTAGTTCATAATTATTTGATAGTTATTAAGTAGCTATTATCAGTTTACTGAGTATTAGGTGGGGATTGGAACTGCAGGCGGCACTTGTTGCAGCGGTACACGCTCTTCTTCTGGAAATTATTATGAATCAGTTGATAATTATTAAGTAGGTCTTGATTAATTATTAAGTAGGTGTTAGTTATTAAGTAAGCATTTTTCCCAAGGAACTCCCTGGAATTCCGGCTCACCTGGTGCCTCATGAAGTGCTGCTGCCATTCCTGAACCCCCTGAGGCAATTCCCAAATCCCATCTTTTCCCATTCCCACCCAAACCCAGTTCTGGAATTCCGGCTCACCTGGTGCCTCATGAAGTGCTGCTGCCATTCCTGAACCCCCTGAGGCAATTCCCAAATCCCATCTTTTCCCATTCCCACCCAAACCCAGTTTCCCCCCCGTCGTCCAGCGTTCCCAAATCCCGTTTTTCCTGGGAATCCCGGCTCACCTGGTGCCTCATGAAGTGCTGCTGGAAGGCGTTGCCGTTCTTGAACACCTTGAGGCAGTAGGGGCACAGGAGGTGCCGCGTGTCCTCGTGGATCAGCCTGAAGTGGCTGTCCACCTCGGAGTACAGCGACGAGCGGTACTGGCACACCTGGAAAACACCGGGAAAACCGGGATGGGGGGGCGGGGAAATCCAGGGAGTTGGGGCATTCCAACAGGATGGGGAGGAAAACGGGGAAAAAAGCCTGGTATCTGGGGCATTTCAGCAGCAGGGTGTGGGAAAATCCCAGTTAGCAGGGAAAAATTCCGTGGTTTTCCATACCTGGCACACACAGGGGGTTACTGGGATGGGAACTGGGAATTGCAGGTGGTAATTCCAGGAGTTTTCCATACCTGGCAGACGTAGGGCATCTCCCCGGGTTTGTGGGTGTCCTTCATGTGCTGCAGGAAGAGCGGCTCACTCTCGAACGCCCACTCGCAGATCTTGCACTTGGCTGCCCCAAAAAACAGGGGAAAACGGGGAAAAGTTGGGAAAAATGTGGGAGTTGGAGGTGTGGGAAAAGGGAGAAGGGGGGGAAAAGAGGGAAAAGAAGAGGGAAAAGCAGGAAAATGGGGAAAAGGGAGGGAAAAGGGGAAAAAGAGGGGTAAAAAAAGAGGGAAGAGGGAAAAGGGAGAAGTGAACTTGGCTGGGATTTGGGATGGATTTTGTGGTGACCTTGAGCAAGGGGCAAGGGAGCAGTGACAACTCTCCTTCCATAAATTCCCACTAAATCCAGGAGGAAAATCCCAATTCAGGGATAAGACTCCCAGAAAAGCACGGCCTATTGGGACTTTAGGAGCTGTGCACATTCTCCAGGTACAATTGGGGCTGGAGAAGTGAAACTTGGCTGGAATTTCGGGTGGGCTTTGTGGTGACCTCAAGCAAGGGGCGAGGGAGGAGCGTCTCAATTTCCCCTGCCCAAACCCCTGATGAATCCAAGAGGAAATTCCCAGGGGAATCCCACAGGAAAGCAGGAGAAGCACTGACTGCTGGACTCGTAGGGGCTGTGCACGTTCTCCAGGTAGAACTGGGGCTGGAGAAGTGAAACTTGGCTGGAATTTCGGGTGGGCTTTGTGGTGACCTCAAGCAAGGGGCGAGGGAGGAGCGTCTCAATTTCCCCTGCCCAAACCCTTATGAATCCAAGAGGAAATTCCCAGGGGAATCCCACAGGAAAGCAGGAGAAGCACTGACTGCTGGACTCGTAGGGGCTGTGCACGTTCTCCAGGTGGAATTGGGGCTGGAGAAGTGAAACTTGGCTGGAATTTCGGGTGGGCTTTGTGGTGACCTCAAGCAAGGGGCGAAGGAGGAGCGTCTCAATTTCCCCTGCCCAAACCCCTGATGAATCCAAGAGGAAATTCCCAAACCCCTGATGAATCCAAGAGGAAAGGGAAAACCGGGATGGGGGGGCGGGGAAATCCAGGGAGTTGGGGCATTCCAACAGGATGGGGAGGAAAACGGGGAAAAAAGCCTGGTATCTGGGGCATTTCAGCAGCAGGGTGTGGGAAAATCCCAGTTAGCAGGGAAAAATTCCGTGGTTTTCCATACCTGGCACACACAGGGGGTTACTGGGATGGGAACTGGGAATTGCAGGTGGTAATTCCAGGAGTTTTCCATACCTGGCAGACGTAGGGCATCTCCCCGGGTTTGTGGGTGTCCTTCATGTGCTGCAGGAAGAGCGGCTCACTCTCGAACGCCCACTCGCAGATCTTGCACTTGGCTGCCCCAAAAAACAGGGGAAAACGGGGAAAAGTTGGGAAAAATGGGGGAGTTGGAGGTGTGGGAAAAAGAGGGGAAAAGAGGGAAAAGAAGAGGGAAAAGCAGGAAAATGGGGAAAAGGGAGGGAAAGGGGGAAAAAGAGGGGTAAAAAAAGAGGAAAGAGGGAAAAGGGAGAAGGTGGAACTGGGACTGGGATTTGGGATGGATTTTGTGGTGACCTTGAGCAAGGGGCAAGGGAGCAGTGACAACTCTCCTTCCATAAATTCCCACTAAATCCAGGAGGAAAATCCCAATTCAGGGATAAGACTCCCAGAAAAGCACGGCCTATTGGGACTTCAGGAGCTGTGCACATTCTCCAGGTACAATTGGGGCTGGAGAAGTGAAACTTGGCTGGAATTTCGGGTGGGCTTTGTGGTGACCTCAAGCAAGGGGCGAGGGAGGAGCGTCTCAATTTCCCCTGCCCAAACCCCTGATGAATCCAAGAGGAAATTCCCAGGGGAATCCCACAGGAAAGCAGGAGAAGCACTGACTGCTGGACTCGTAGGGGCTGTGCACGTTCTCCAGGTGGAATTGGGGCTGGAGAAGTGAAACTTGGCTGGAATTTCGGGTGGGCTTTGTGGTGACCTCAAGCAAGGGGCGAGGGAGGAGCGTCTCAATTTCCCCTGCCCAAACCCCTGATGAATCCAAGAGGAAATTCCCAGGGGAATCCCACAGGAAAGCAGGAGAAGCACTGACTGCTGGACTCGTAGGGGCTGTGCACGTTCTCCAGGTGGCACTGCAGCTGGAAGGGGGTGCTGAAGTGGCGGTAGCAGTGCTGGCAGATGGTGTGCACGTCCACCTCGCCGTTCTGCTGGTCCAGCTCCACGTGGTGCTTCATGTGGTTCATGAACCTGCAGGGACGGAATTCCCGGAGATTCCCATTCCGCACACCGCTGGAAAGTGCACCTGTGCGTCGCTCCCGACTTGCTTTTGGGGTTATTAATGGATTATTCCTGGGGAATTCCTGGGGAATTCCTCACTGAGGGTTGTTCTTGAGGCACTTAGAGCAGTGGGGGCAGCGGTGCCCATGTCCCACTGCCCCTCATTCCCACAATCCCAGATTCCCAGGTAATTAATTCCCACATTCCCAGGTAATTAATTCCCACATTCCCAGGTAATTAATTCCCACATTCCCAGGTAATTAATTCCCACATTCCCAGGTAATTAATTCCCACATTCCCAGGTAATTAATTCCCACATTCCCAGGTAATTAATTCCCACATTCCCAGGTAATTAATTCCCACATTCCCAGGTAATTAATTCCCACATTCCCAGGTAATTAATTCCCACATTCCCAGGTAATTAATTCCCACATTCCCAGGTAATTAATTCCCCCATTCCCAGCCCTGGATAACTCCTCACCGGGGGTTGGCTGTTCCTGAGGTTCCCAGTGCACTGGGCACGGCAGAGCCCCCATCCCGCTGCCCATCACTCCCGCACCACTCCCACCCCGTTTCCGGGTTTCTGCCGGGTAATTAAGCGCAATTAAGGGCTAACGAAGGGCCCAGGGCTCACCGGATGTTGTTCTTGAGGCGCTTGGTGCAGTGGGGGCAGCGGAAGGACGTGGGCACCCTGGGGCAGGGTGGCACGGCCGCCCCCTTGCCCCCGTCCCGCCCGTAGTAGAACTCGTCCACCAGCATGATCAGCTTGGCCTGGGCGGGGTCAGCCCCGCCCTCACCTGGCTCAGGTGCGGCCTTGGGCGGGGTCGGGGGCGGGGCCGGGGCCGCGCCCTGGGCGGGGGAGGGGGCCTTGGCCGAGGGTGGGGCGGGCTCGGAATCCAGGGATTTGCGTTTCTTCAGGAATTCCACCAGCTCCGGGCAGCAGTACTGCAGAGACGGGGTAATTAATGGCTACTCGGTAATTGGGGTGGGGGTAATTAATGAGAGACAGTGAGCTGGGGCTGGGATTAATCGCTGCTCGTTAAACTGGGGCTGGGATAATGAATGTGGAGGCACTGAACTGGGTCTAGAATGAACCCCCGCTCGTTAAGCCAGGTCTAGACTGAATCCCCGCCCATCAAACTGGGTCTAGAATGAATCCCCACTCATCAAACTGGGTCTAGAATGAATCCCCACTCATCAAACTGGGTCTAGAATGAACCCCCACTCATTAAACTGGGTCTAGAATGAATCCCCACCCGTTAAGCCGGGCCTAGACTGAATCCCCACCCGTTAAACCAGGCCTAGACTGAATCCCCACCCGTTAAGCCGGGCCTAGACTGAATCCCCTCCCGTTAAGCCAGGCCTGGAGCACCCAGGCCGGGATGGTGACTTACACACATGTGGCCCCGCAGCGCCTCGGTGACGCGGAACTGCGAGTCGCACTTGGGACAGACCTTGCGGCCCCCGTCCTGGAAATCCAGGCTGGGAATGGGGGAGGAGCTGCCTGCAGCGGGAAAAGCACGGATCAGCTCCCAGCGCCGCCGCTCCCGCACTCCTTAATCCCAAAAAAATCCCCCATTCCCAACTTTTCCCAGCCTTCGTCCCGACAAAGCCTCCCAAAATCACCCGGTTTTCTCTTTTCTACCCTTCATCCCACAGCCCATCTTAACCTCGTGCCTCCCGAGATCCCGGAGCGCGCCTCAAACGCCAGCTCTGCGTCCCGGCGCGGCGGAATTCCGGGGTTTACCTTTGCGGGGCGCGGCCGAGGCCGAGGCCTCGCCGGCGGTGCCCCGCTGGGCCGCGCCGGGGCTGCTCAGCGGGAAAAGCACGGATCAGCTCCCAGCGCCGCCGCTCCCGCACTCGTTAATCCCAAAAAAATCCATTCCCAACTTTTCCCAGCCTTCGTCCCGACAAAGCCTCCCAAAATCACCCGGTTTTCTCTTTTCTACCCTTCATCCCACAGCCCATCTTAACCTCGTGCCTCCCGAGATCCCGGAGCGCGCCTCAAGCGCCAGCTCTGCGTCCCGGCGCGGCGGAATTCCGGGGTTTACCTTTGCGGGGCGCGGCCGAGGCCGAGGCCTCGCCGGCGGTGCCCCGCTGGGCCGCGCCGGGGCTGCTGTTGGCCACGGCCAGCGCGGCGGGGCCGTGGGCCAGCGAGGGCACCGTGCCCAGCGTGTTCACCAGCTTGGCCACCTCGGGGCCGCCGGCGCCGCTGGCGTCGCCGGGCACGCCCGGGCGCTTCACCGTCACGAAGCTGGCGATGCTCACTGCGGAGGGGAGAGGATTCCATGGAATTCCTGATGGGAACCGGGGCGGGAATTCAGCCACCCTTGAGACTCCACCAGAAATGGCTTGGACAAAATTCCAGCCTGGAATTCCCAAACTGAAACGCTTTTTTACCCAGACTGCCCCAGATTCTCCTCACTTCCCAATCTGTGAATAAACTCTGACCCAAAAGTGAACTCAGGCCCAGCTCCCAGCACCACACCCTGGCTCCCAAGGATTTTTCCATGAGAATTCCTGCAGGAACTCGGGCCAGGATTAGGAACTCAGGCCTGGATTGGGAATTTGAGATATGATCGGGAATTTAGGGTATGATCGGGAATTTGGGATATGATCAGGAATTTAGGGTATGATCGGGAATTTGGGATATGATCAGGAATTTGGGATATGATTGGGAACTCAGGCCAGGATCAGGAACTCAGGCCTGGGTTGGGAATTTGGGATATGATTGGGAACTCAGGCCGGGATCAGGAACTCAGGCCGGGATTGGGAATTTGGGATATGATTGGGAACTCGGGCCAGGATCAGGAATTTGGGACAGGATGGGGAACTCAGGCCGGGATCAGGAACTCAGGCCTGGGTCGGGAATTTGGGGTAGGATGGGGAACTCAGGCCGGGATCAGGAACTCGGGCCAGGATCAGGAACTCAGGCCTGGGTCAGGAATTTGGGATATGATTGGGAACTCAGGCCGGGATCAGGAACTCAGGCTGGGTCGGGAATTTGGGATATGATTGGGAACTCAGGCCGGGATCAGGAACTCAGGCCGGGATTGGGAATTTGGGATATGATTGGGAACTCGGGCCAGGATCAGGAATTTGGGACAGGATGGGGAACTCAGGCCGGGATCAGGAACTCAGGCCTGGGTCGGGAATTTGGGGTAGGATGGGGAACTCAGGCCGGGATCAGGAACTCGGGCCAGGATCAGGAACTCAGGCCTGGGTCAGGAATTTGGGATATGATTGGGAACTCAGGCCGGGATCAGGAACTCAGGCCAGGATCAGGAACTCAGGGCTGGATCGGGAATTTGGGATATGATTGGGAACTCAGGCCGGATCGGGAATTTGGGATATGATTGGGAACTCAGGCTGGATCGGGAATTTGGGATATGATTGGGAACTCGGGCCAGGATCAGGAACTCGGGCCGGGATCAGGAACTCAGGCCGGGATCAGGAACCCAGGCTGGGATCAGGAATTTGGGATATGATTGGGAACTCAGGCCGGGATCAGGAACCCAGACTGGGATCAGGAACTCAGGACACGATCAGGAGCTGGGTGACTCACTCTGCTGGGGCGCCTGGGCCTGGGGCACGGTGCTGCGCAGGGTCAGCGTGGCCGGGATGACCGTGGCAAAGGCGTTGGTGGCCGGCCGGCCGGGCCCGGCGCTGCCCGGCCGCACCTGCGCCACCGGCGAGAACACCTGGGGAACGCCAACTGCTGGTTTAACAAACTGGGTACCTGGGGCTTCAAACACAAACAGAGAGCCGTGATCCGACCCCAGTCCCAGCAAGTATGGGGTTTACAGCTTTAGTTGGGGTTTACAGCTTTTATTCTTATTAATAACCATTATTATTACTATTATTAATGACGATCACCCGGCACAAAGGTGACGGGGCCCATGAGGCTCTGCACTGACCACACCTCAGCACCATCACCATTCTTAGCGTTATTCCCGTTTCTGCCTGTTACTGAACGGTTCTTGTTTGATTAATGAGTTAATTACCTGGCACGAGGGTGATGGGCCGCACGGTCTGGCCCTGCTGGACGTTGAGCACGATGCCCACCTGGTTCATGGGGCTCTGCACGGGCCGGACGTTCTGCACCGGGAACCCCTGGAACCCAAGGGATGCATCAGCCACAAAACCGCCCCAAACCAACCCAAAACCATCCCAAACCAACCCAAAACCGTCCCAAACCAACCCAAAACCGTCCCAAACCAACCCAAAACCATCCCAAACCAACCCAAAACCGTCCCAAACCAACCCAAAACCGTCCCAAACCAACCCAAAACCGTCCCACACCAACCCAAAACCGTCCCAAACCAACCCAAAACCGTCCCACACCAACCCAAAAATGTCCCAAACCAACCCAAAACCGTCCCAAACCAACCCAAAACCGTCCCACACCAAACCAAAAATAATCCCTGGAATCCAACAGATCCGTCACCCCCGGGCCATTCCTGAGGGAATTCCAACCCCAAGAATACCATAAACAAACCCAAAAATCACCTGGGATTGGGGTTGGCCTTTGGGATTGAGATTTAGGACTGGGTTGGGGTTTAGGACTGGGATCAGTGCTAGGGTTCAGGATTGGAGTTTGGGGTTCAGGACTGGGGTTCAAGGCAAACAAAACTTCTGGAAGGTTTGAAGTTCTGTTGAGCCAAACCCTCCAACCCCAAGAATATCCTAAACAAACCCAAAAATCACCTGGGATTGGGGTTGGGCTTTGGGATTGAGATTTAGGACTGGGTTGGGGTTTAGCACTGGGATCAGTGCTAGGGTTCAGGATTGGAGTTTGGGGTTCACGACTGGGGTTCAAGGCAAACAAAACTTCTGGAAGGTTTGAAGTTCTGTTGAGCCAAACCCTCCACGGGGCCCAACCCCCATCCCACAGCTCTGGGGGATTTTGGCTCGATGGGAAAAGAAGCACCAAAAACGGAGCAAGAAATGGGAATCTTCCCCGGGACAGCGCGGTTTTCCCAAGATCTCCCGCAGAGCTTCGTGCCGGGAGCTCACCTGGGTGGTGATGAAGATGGGCTGGGTGCCCGCGGGCGGGTTGGTGCCGTGGTTGGCGTTCTGCATCAGCTGCACCGGCCGCAGCAGGGGCTGCGTGACCACGGCGCCCAGGCCGGGCGCGGGGCTCTGCGCCAGCAGCAGCGACTGCCCGCCCGGCTGCACCGCGGCATTCCCGCCTGGAACACAGCCACAGCGCCCGTGGGGAAGGGGGAAACCGGGGGAGTGGGGGAAAAGGGGGGAAATCCAGAGGAAAAGGGGGGAAATCCAGGGGAAAAGGGGGGAAATCCAGGGGAGAAGGGGGGAAAAAGTCAGTGGGGTAAGGGGGAAAATCTATGGGAATGTGGGGAAAAAACCAGGGGAAAAATCCAGGGGAAAAGTGGGGAAAATACAGGGGAAAAGGGGGAAAATCCAGGGGAATATGAGGTAAAAAATCAGTGGGAAAAGGAGGAAAATCTATGGGAATATGGGGGAAAATCCAGGGGAATGTGAAGGGGGGAAAAACTCAGTGGGAAAAGGGGGAAAATCTATGGGAATATGGGGGAAAATCCAGGGGAAAAGCAGGGGAAATCCAGGGGAATATGAGGTAAAAAAATCAGTGGGAAAAGGAGGAAAATCTATGGGAATATGGGGGAAAATCCAGGGGAAAAGCAGGGGAAAATCCAGGGGGAAAGGGGGGAAAATCAGGGAAAAATAAGTGAGGGAAAGGAACAGAATTAAGAGGGAAAAGGAGGATGATCCATGGGAAAATCCATGAGAATATGGGGGAAAAAAATCCGTGGGGAAATGGGAAATGTAAGTGGGGAAAGGGGAAAGTTGGTGGGAAATATGGAAAATCAGTAAGGAAATGGGAAACACCAGTGGGAGAAGGGGGGAAATGAAGTGGGGAAAGGGGGAAATGACCTGTGGGATTTTTTTCCATGGAATTGTAATCCTCCACCACGGAGTCCTCGATGACGTCGCTGATTTTCTGCCATGGCTCCAGCTCCTCCTCCTCACATTCCATGAAAAGATCCGTGTCTGCCATGCTGGAGAAATGCAGGAAAAACAGGAATTTGGCACTAAAAAATTCACAGGGAAATTTTTTTTCCCCAAGGGGAGGAACGGGAATAATGAGTTTGGGCTGGTTTTAGATCCTGAAATTCCAAGGGAAAACAAAAGGAGCTGAAAATTTTTAGGTTCTGGTTTTTTTTTCCAGGGAAATCTGTGGAAAATTCCTGGATTTGACACAAAATTGGAATTTTTTCCCTCCTCTCCCACTAAGGAATCCTAGGTTATTTCTCTGGTTTAAAATCCCTGTTTCTTTCCAAGAGAATCTGTGGAATTTGGGATTAAAATACCCAGGATTGACTCAAAATTGGAATTTTCCCAATGAGTTTGGGCTGGTTTTAGATCCTGAAATTCCAAGGGAAAACAAAAGGAGCGAAATTTTCAGGTTCTGTTTTTTTTTTTTCCAGGGAAATCTGTGGAAAATTCCTGGATTTGACACAAAATTGGAATTTTTTCCCTCCTCTCCCACTAAGGAATCCTAGGTTATTTCTCTGGTTTAAAATCCCTGTTTCTTTCCAAGAGAATCTGTGGAATTTGGGATTAAAATACCCAGGATTGACTCAAAATTGGAATATTTTGCCTCTCCCGCTGAGGATTTCCAGGTAATTTCACGGTTTTAAAATTTTTAAATCCAAAAAAATTTAAGATTTAAAAAATCCCAAAGGATTTTTGGTTATCCCAAGATTCCCAGCTTGGAATGAGCAGCAGGAGCTTCTGTCTGGGGGCTTTTAATTAAAATTAGAATAAAACAAAAATAATGGGAGGATACTTCCAAGAATTTTGGGATCAAAGGAAAAATTTGCAGAGATAAAACCAAAAATGAACCAGAGCTTCCCACCCTGGGAATTCTCTCCATCTCTTCAGCTTGGGATGGGGGAATTGTGGAAAATTCTCCTGGAATGGGGGGAAAAATGGGATTTTGTTGCCTCCCACCCCTTGGGAAGGCAGAATCTTGGAATGCTCTCCTGCCTCTTCCCAAAAAATTCCTCACCTCCAGGCCTCAGGAAGCTGGAAAAAAATCCAAAGAATATCAGCAAAGGTTGGTTTTCCTTGGCTTTGAGGTGGATAAAACACCCAAATTAAATGTTAATAATAATTAATAATTACTGCTAATAATTAATAATTACTCATTCTAACAGCCCTAAAACATCCAGGAATTGGAAAAATTCTGAGAATTCTGAGGAATTTGGGAAACAAAAAGCAAATTTCCTTTGGAACTACACCCTTCACCTTCCCATCCATAAAAAAAAAACCAGGAAAAACCTCATCCCATTAATTAATCAGATTTAATTTGTGCTATTTAATGATTAAAGCCTTTTAAAATGCACTCTTTTTTTTTCCTTCTTTTTTTTTTTTTTTCCCCAACACCTTTGGGAATTTTTTTGGTGGGATCCCTCCTAAATGTTAATAATAATTAATAATTACTGCTAATAATTAATAATTACTCATTCTAACAGCCCTAAAACATCCAGGAATTGGAAAAATTCTGAGAATTCTGAGGAATTTGGGAAACAAAAAGCAAATTTCCTTTGGAACTACACCCTTCACCTTCCCATCCATAAAAAAAACCAGGAAAAACCTCATCCCATTAATTAATCAGATTTAATTTGTGCTATTTAATGATTAAAGCTTTTTAAAATGCACTGGGTTTTTTCCTCCTTTTTTTTTTTTTCCCCAGCACCTTTGGGAATTTTTCTGGTGGGATCCCTCCCATCCCCTGCCCACACTGGGATCAGGTGAATCCCAATAAAATCCAGTGAATCCCAATAAAATCAGGTTTTTGGGAAGCAGGATCCCATCCCTCCCCAGCTCCCTGGCACATCCCAGCCCCAGGGAATTCCAGGAAAACCTCAAGCACTGGGAATTTTCAGAGCAGCAGCCTCGGGGGATCTGGGGGATGGAATCCCAAATCCTGCTGGAGGAAGGGAATTCCTGAGCCTCTTCCAGGAGTTTTGGGCTCCCAGGTTGGGGAGGGGAGAAAATTAGGAGTTTTCCCATTTTCCTGCTTGGATCCGGGCGGGATGGAGCCGCTGCTGAGGGTGACAGTGGAAGGACAGGACAGGGACAGGAAAAACTGGGAAGAGGGATGGGATGGTGATCCCAAATTCCTGAGGAGAAGGCTGGGATCCCAATCCCAAATCCCCGAAGAGATAGGTGAGATCCCTGACGAAGAGTGCTGGGGTGGCAATCCTGGATCTCTCAGGAAAAGGCTGGAATCCCAAATTCCCGAGGATGAAGACTGGGATGCCAATCCCAAATCCCGGAGGAGGAGGATTGGGATGCCAATCCCAAATCCCGGAGGAGGAGGATTGGGATGCCAATCCCAAATCCCGGAGGAGGAGGACTGGGATGCCAATCCCAAATCCCGGAGGAAGAGGACTGGGATGCCAATCCCAAATCCCGGAGGAAGAGGACTGGGATGCCAATCCCAAATCCCGGAGGAAGAGGACTGGGATGCCAATCCCAAATCCCGGAGGAAGAGGACTGGGATGCCAATCCCAAATCCCGGAGGAAGAGGACTGGGATGCCAATCCCAAATCCCGGAGGAAGAGGCCTGGGATGCCAATCCCAAATTCCCGAGGATGAAGACTGGGATGCCAATCCCAAATTCCCGAGGATGAAGACTGGGATGCCAATCCCAAATTCCCGAGGATGAAGACTGGGATGCCAATCCCAAATTCCCGAGGATGAAGACTGGGATGCCAATCCCAAATTCCCGAGGATGAAGACTGGGATGCCAATCCCAAATTCCCGAGGATGAAGACTGGGATGCCAATCCCAAATTCCCGAGGATGAAGACTGGGATGCCAATCCCAAATTCCCGAGGATGAAGACTGGGATGCCAATCCCTTCCCGAGGAGGAGGACTGGGATGCCAATCCCAAATCCCGGAGGAGGAGGATTGGGATGCCAATCCCTAATCCCGGAGGAGGAGGACTGGGATGCCAATCCCAAATTCCCGAGGATGAAGACTGGGATGCCAATCCCAAATTCCCGAGGATGAAGACTGGGATGCCAATCCCAAATCCCGGAGGAAGAGGACTGGGATGCCAATCCCAAATCCCGGAGGAGGAGGACTGGGATGCCAATCCCAAATCCCGGAGGAAGAGGACTGGGATGCCAATCCCAAATTCCCGAGGATGAAGACTGGGATGCCAATCCCAAATCCCGGAGGAAGAGGCCTGGGATGCCAATCCCAAATCCCGGAGGAGGACTGGGATGCCCAGTCCCTGCGGCCGAGGGCTCCCTCCCCTCACGGCGCTGGACAGGGGCACTCACTCAGCGAAGGTGAAGCACCAGCAGGCCAAGGATGATGGGGGGTGGTCTCACCTCGCAAACCGCTGATCCCAGACCCTCCCTTGTCCCTTAGCCTCGCCTAAAAACCGGGAAAAGGCCGCTTCTCCCGAGAACTCCGGGAAAAGCCCCCCCCCCCCCACGCACCCTCAACGTATTGTGGCGGCTAAGAAAGAGAGTGAAAAATAATCCCCGTGCCCAACATGGCCGCCCACCAGCGAAGCAGCGCCGCCAGAGAGGAGGGGGCGGCAGCACCGGCAGAGGGGGGAAAAGGACGGACACGACCGCCCCTTCCCCAGCCCGGCGCTGGCGACCGGGGTCGGGGGGACCGTGAGGGAACCGTGAGGGGATCCCCGGTATGGCGGGAGGGGGTGCGCGGAGGGAGCCGCGGCGGGGCCGCATCACCGCCGCCCCCCTCTCCTGAGGGCGGCCGCTTCACCGCGTCCCCCGGGCCGTGAGGGCTGCGCGCGGATCCCTCCGCGTCCCTCAGCGCCCGCCCGGGCCCGGCGGGAGCGGCCGCCGGAGCCGCCGCGGCTCCTCCCCGGCCCCTCCTCGGCACCCCGAGCCCTCCCTCCTCCTTCTCCTCCTCCTCTTCGCCTCCTCCTCCTCCTCCCGCCACCGCTTTGTGTACGGCGCGCTCCGGCCCTGCCGCCCCCCCCCCCCTT